TTTTTTTGAGATGGAGTTTCGCTCTTGTTTCTCACGCTGGAGTGCAATGGTGTGATCTCTGCCCATTGCAAGGTCCGCCTCCCAGGCTCAATCGATTCTTCCGTCTCAGCCTCCCATGTAGCTGGGATTATAGACATGCACCACCACGCCTGGCTGATTTTGTATTTTTAATAGAGATGGGATTTCACCATGTTCGTCAGGCTGGCCTTAACCACAAGTGATCCACCCGCCTCACCCTCCCAAAGTACTGGATTACAGGTGTAAGCCACCATGCCCCACCTGTTTCTTTCTTTATGTAAGCATTTGTCTGCTTTTGTACAAAGCTTAGAGTCTAGATAAAGCAAAACTCAGCTGTGAAAAATGTGAAGTTCCCTAAGATTTCTAGAAGTCTCTGCAGGTAGGCTGGGTGCAGTGGCACATGCCTCTAATCCTAGTACTTTGGGAGGCCAAATCCTAGTACTTTGGGAGGCAGACTGCTTAAGCCCAGGAGTTTGAGATCAGCCTGGATAATATGGCAAGACCTCCTCTCTATAAAAACACAAAAATTAGCCAGGCATGATGGTGAACACCTGTAGTCCCAGCTACTTAGGAGGCTTAGGCAGGAAGATTGCTTGAGCCCAGGAGGCAGTGGTTGCAGTGAGCCACAATTATGCTACTACACTCCAGCCTGAGTGACAGAGTGAGATCCTGTCCCAAAAAAAAAAAAAAAGTCTCTGCAGGCAACTTAGTTGTACTTTTAAGAAAGATGTGATCCTAGAAGTTTGAGACCAACTTGGGCAACATAGGGAGACCCCATCTCTACAAAAACTTAAAAAATTAGCTGGGCGTAGTGGCACTTGCCTGTAGTCCTAGCTACTTGGGAAGCTGATGTGGGTCAGTCCCTTAGACCCAGGAGGTCAACGCTGCAGTGAGTCGTGATGGGCCACATGCACTCCAGCTTGGGTGACAGAGCAAGACTCTGTCTGAAAAACGAGCAAAACAATGAGAAAAAGGTCAACACATTTCTTGAAACACTTTCATATTTGGTAGAGGAAGGAGATACATTGGGATAAAGGATATAGGAAAATATGATTTTATTATAATATTAATTTCTGTAGTTATTCAACACAAATTAATTTTTATTGAGCATTTGCTATTAGGGCAGTCACTGGGCTTTTTTGTCAGAATACAGAGATTAATTCTTTTGCCTAAGGATCTAATAATACAATGGATGTTTTAGATAAGAAAAATGTTATAAAGACTATAAGACAGATGCACAGGGTGTTAGCAAAGAGGATCATATGGTTGTGCATTTCATAACTGGACAATGCCTAAAATTATGAAATAAGCCATAAGTGAAGATTATTTTGCAGTTATATCAGTGTATATTTATTTACCATAGTCTGATACTTGTGAATATAGCTAGTCTCATCATATGAAAACCCTAATCCAGAATATATTCATGTTTACATGATGCGTAAACATGCTCTGCTCATAGTTATAGCAATACATATGTTCAATTTTAAGATTGTCAGTGTTGCAATATGGCATTTCCACTGTGACATAAATATGATTTGCTGAAAATGAGAATTAGGGTATTTTGTTACCTTCAAGAATATGTGTCTAGTAATGCCAAGTTTTCAGAATCTCTAATAAGTAAATAATATGCTGTTAAAAATGACAACAGGGGTCACGCACAGTGGCTCATGCCTGTAATCTTGATCTCTTTGGGAGGCCAAGACAGGAGAATCCCTTGAGTTCAGGAGTTCAAGACCAGCCTGGGGAACATCATGAGAGATTCTGTCTCTCAGAAAAATAAAAAAAATTAGCTGGGCATGGCGGCACAACATCTATAGTTCCAGTTACTCAGGGGGCTGAGGTGGGAGGATCCCTTGAGCCCGAGAGGTTGAGCTGCTGAGGGCTGTGATCATAGCACTGCCCACCAGCCTGGGTGATAGAGCAATACTCTGTCTTAAAAAAAAAATACAGCCTGAGATATTTTCATGCCATAAATGCTACTATAGGACTTATAACTAATTTGGCTTTCCAAGGTAAACATTCTTCTTGTAATCTTATGTTATTTTCATAAATTCATTCTTTATAAAGAGTCCTAAAAAACTAGGGATCAGTTTTGGTATAAAACCAGAAATTGTGAATTATTAAGGATATAATTGTTTTAAGAATGATTGCTTTTCGAGGTGGGCAGATCACTTGGGGTCAGGAGTTCAAGATCAGCCTGACCAACATGGTAAAATCTCATCTCTACTAAAAATACAAAAATCAGCTGGGTGTGGTGGTGCACGCCTGTAGCATGTTGGTGCAAAACTATAGTCCCAGCTATTTGGAAGGCTGAGGTGGAAGAATCACTTGAACCCAGGAGGTGGAGGCTGCAGTGTGTCGAGATTGCAGCACTGCACTCCAGCCTGGGCGACAGAGCAAGACTCCATCTTAAAAAAAAAAAAAGAATGATTGTTTTTGCTATAAATTCCTAATAGAGGCATTGGCAAACTTACTGTGTAGAGAGGCCAGATAGTAAATTTTGTTTACTTTATAGGCCATGTAGTCATCTCGGTCTTAATTACAAAAACAGCCATAGACAATAAATGAAGGGATGTGACTATCTTCCAATAAAATGTTATTTGCAAAAACAGGTAACTGGCTGAATTTTGCTTGGGGACATAATTTGCCAATTTTTTCTGTAAAGAAGAAGGTTAATTAATAGTAATTTCCCAAATGGAATTATTTAAATAGTTGTCATTCCAGGTGTCTTTTATTTTTCTTCAAATTTACGTTTTCTTTATTTGTTTTATTTTATTTTTAAATAGGAGCACCCAGGCTAAAATGTCAAGAACTCTTGAATTATATCATGGATACAGTGAAAGATTCATCTAATGTTGCCATTTATGGAGCTGATTATAGCAACATACTACTCAAAGACATTCTTTCTGTGAGAAAATACTGGTGTGAAATATCTCAGCAACAGTGGTTAGGTACGTTGGGAAGGTTGTTCTTTTTTGTGAATGTTTCCTCCTAAAATGAAACTTCACCAAAGAAAGCACTTGTCTGTATCCGTCTGTATCCCCCAAGTGACCTGACAGTGTAACAGTACTTTAGTAATATTATATGGTTATCAAACCCGACCCTTAATTTTTATTTATTTATGTAGCTTCTGAATTAAGTCACCAATAATATATCAGGTGCCTGATATCAGAGCTGGAATTACAGTTGAAAGATGTCATCTCCATTGTCAAGGAGTTGACAGTGGTAGAAGAAAACCCAAGTAAACCAGAGATTATAGTGGACTATGATACAGATATATTTCGGTGCAGTAGATATACAAAACAATGACACCTAAACTCAGCCATGATTCAAGTAGAAAGGAAGAGAACCGAGAGAGAAGTATCATGAAAGTGAAAGCAGGCTGGGTGCAGTGGCTCAGGCATGTAAACCCAGCATTTTGGGATGCCAAGGCAGGTGGATTGCTTGAGCCCAGGAGTTCAAGACCAGCCTGGGCAATACAGTGAAACTCTGTCTTTACAGAAAATAGCAGAGGTAGTGGCTCATGCTTGTAGTCTCAGCTACTTGGGAGGCTGAGGCAGGAGGATCACCTGAGTCCTGGAGGTTGAGGCTGCAGTGAGCTGTTATCACTTCACACTGCACTCCAGCCTGGGTGACAGAGTTAGACCCTGTTTCCATTAAAAAAAAAAAAAAAAAAGTGAAAGCAAGAGACTTTAAAGTTCAAAGGGGTGTGGCTGACATTTTAAGTGTTGTAGAAGGGGACACAAAAGTTTCCATTGGATTAGGCACTTGGCACTCTACTCCTAAGGTAATTGAAATGAATTATATTAGAAGAGAATGTACAGGACCTAGTGACTCACTAGATGTGTAGAGTGTATGCTAGGGAGGAATCTGGTATTGTTGCCTGTTTATAGCTGGGAGGTACTGAGAGACCACAAAGGAAAGAAGTTATGGTCAGAGACTGAAATATTTCAGTTTATTGATTTCAATGAAGGAGTATTTCTGGGTTTGAGAGTAAGTGAAAGTAGGATTTGACATTAACAAGATGACTGAGTCAGATGTCAAAGTCTTCTAATATACCAGCTCTAAAAGTTTAGAAGCTTTTTTTTTCATGGAAAAGTATTTAAGCTAAATTTTGCTTGCTAAATTAAAAGACATTTGTCCATATTTTTTACTGCCACTATTTCAAAATGGGGTACATGTGAATCTCAAAACTACTAACTAATCAGTACCCTCACTCTGTGTTACATTCTATTGTTCCCATGAGAATAAACTCCTTCTCAGCTGTTGTACTAATTTCTTAGAAGTCATTTTGAGCCTTTATGTTACTCTGATGACAAGGTAGGCCGTGTCTGTAATAGGGCCCTCAACAAGCCTAGAGACAGCCTTTGGGGAATAGGCTGGTGATATCTAAGATACTCAGCCAGATCTTTCCCCAGTATGGCTGGTCATATTTAGGACATTTTAGATTATCACTTATAACCATGGCTGTCACTGAAACCAAGGCACTCTCTCCCCAATCTCCTTACTGTATTCAGTCATCTAGTGTGTCCTCTGAAACCCCCTTTTCATTTGTAAACTAACTACTGTTACTGCTTCTTTTTTTTTAAGCTAAACTTTGCTACTTCTTCCTGGATGTTACTTCTTATAATTAACCTTTTTGTCAAATATTTTTTTTACTTAGCTTCCTTCTCTAAAACTTGCTTAGATGAGGACTCTGTGGAAGAAGTGCAGTCTATGCTCGAAATATATATTTGGTAGAGGTGGTGATTAAAGCCATGACTGTGGGTGAGATTTCTATATAGAGTTTAGGATGAGATGAGAAGAATGGCCTAAGACTTAAGTCAGCGTTTCTGTATAAATTTTGGAATCAGCTTACGTATTCCTACAAAAGATCCTGCTGGGATTTTGATACTAATTGCATTAAAACTGTTGAACAATTTGGGAAGAATAGAAATCTTAACTATGTAGAGTTTTCCAATCCATGAACTCTCCATGTACTTAGGTTGTTTGTTTGTTTGTTTGTTTTTTGAGACGGGGTCTCTCTCTGTCACCCAGGCTGGAGTGCCAGTGGCATGATCTTGGCTCACTGCAACCTCCACCTCTTAGGTTCAAGTGATTATACTGCCTCAGTCTCCTGAGTAGCAGGGATTACAGGCATGTGCCACCACACCCAGCTAATTTTTGTATTATTAGCAGAGACAGGATTTCATCATGTTGGCCAGGCTTGTCTCAAACTCTTGACCTCAGGTGATCTGGCTGCTTTGGCCTCCCAGTCTGCTGGGATTATAGGCTTGAGCCACTGCACCGGCTATTTAGGTCTTTTTTGATTTCTTTCATTAGTGTTTTGTAATTGTCAGCATATGGTTTTTTTTATTGTAAATTGAGAATTTTTTTTCTTTAATTTTATTTTTTAAAAAATTAGAAACAGGATCTCACTTTGTTGCCTAGGCTGGTCTCAAATGCCTGGGCTCGAGTGATCCCCCTGCCTTGACCTCCCAAAGTGTTGGGATTATAGACATGAGCCACAATGTCCAGCTGCAAATTGACATTTATAATTGCATAAACATAAAGATTTTGGGTATGTTTTGTTAGATATATACTGCAGTAGTAAATTGCATTGTTTTTAACATTTTGATTTTCAAATTTTTCAATGTACAAAAATGATACAAAAGTACAGTTGATTTTTATATAGCGACCTTGTATTTTGGGATCTTGCTAAAATCACTTATTCATAAATCTAGTAGCTTTTTTTGATTGTTCTTTGGGATTTTCTTTGGAGACAAACGTGTCTGCTGCAAGCAGTAATTTTTTTTTCTTTCTTTCTGAGCCATGTGGCTTTTATTTTTGTGCCTTATTACATTGGCTAGGACCTCCAGTATGATTTTTTTAGTTGTGGTAAACAATATATAACTTTTATCATTTTAACTATTTTTAAGTGTACAATTGAATATTGTTGTGTAATCATCTCCACCATCTGTCTCCAGAACTTTTTTTCTATACTCAGTAAACAATAATTTACCATTCCCCCTGCCCCTAGCCCCTGGCAGCTACCATTCTACTTTCTGTCTCTATGAATTTGGCTGTTTTGGGTACTTTATTTTTATGAATTGAATGTTTATGTCCCCTCAATTATGTTGAAATCTCATTCCCAAAGGCATGGTATTTGGAAGTGTAGGATTTAGAAAGTAATTAGGTCATGTGGTTGAGCCTTCATGGATGGGATTAATGCCCTTATAAAAGGAGGCCAGAGAGCTAACTTGCTCTCTTTCTGCCATGCGAAGGTACAGTTTAAAGTTAGTAGTCTGCAGCTCCAAAGACGGCCCTCACCAGAAACCCACAATGCTGGCATCCTGATCTCCTTTCAGCCTCCAAAATTGTGAGAAATAAATTTCTGTGGTTTCTAAGCCACTTAATCTATGATACTTTGTTATAGCAGCCTGAACTAAAGGACTCCTATAAGTATTTGTTCATTTGCAACTTGCTTATTACACTTACCAAAATGTCTTTGAGGCTCATTCATGTTATGGCATGTGTCTGAATTTCACTCTTTAAAAACTGAACACCATTCTGTTGTGTGTATATGCCGCATTTTGCTCATTCATTCATCCATTGGTGGATGGACATGGGTTGTTTCTGCCTTTTGATTATTGTGAATAATGCCACTATGAACATGAGTATACAAATGTCTCTTGAGTTTCCTGCTTTCAGTTCTTTTGATTGTATACGCAGAAGTAGAATTGCTAGATTGTGTAATTCTATAATTAATTTTTAAGGAATCAACATCCTGTTTTACACAGGAACTACACCATTTTACATTCTCACCAGCAGCACACAGGGTTTCGGTTTCTCTGCATTCTCACTAGCACAACTAATAGAAAATGAGGATTCCTCTTCCAGGCCTTGAAAGCCCTGCATAATTTTGCTTCTTCCTACCTGTCTAACTTAACTAAAGCTCTTCTAATTTCTGTGCTCAAGCTACACTGGCAATTATTCAGTTTCTCAAACCTAGAGGTTTCCTTTTTTTTTTTAAATGGACTTTTATCTTTTAGAGGAATTTTAAGTTTACGGTAAAACTGAGTAGAAAGTTCACTGGACACACACAGCATGCCCTACTATCAACATCTTGCACCAGTGGTACATTTGTTATAATCAACAAACCTATGCTGGGACACATCATTATTACCCAAAGTCCATAGTTATGTTAAAGTTCACTTTTGGTAGTATATATATTGTGGGTTTTTACAAGTGTATTGGCATTTTAAAAGATCTTTTTCTGTATCTAATGAGATGGTCATATTTTTTTCCCTCTGGGGGAGAATGGTAACAATTATTCACTATTATAGTACCATACAGAATAGTTTTATTGCCAGAAAAATCCTCTGTGCTTCACCTGTTCATCCCTCCTCCCTTGCAAACTGTGGGAACCACTGATGTTTGTGCTCTCCATGGTTTGGCCTTCTCCAGCATGTCATATACAATTGTGCATCTCTTAACAATGTAGATATGTTCTGAGAAATACATCACTAGGCAATTTATTTGTTGTATGAACATCATAGGATATATTTATACAAACTTAAATGGTATAATACTACACACCTAGGTTATATCGTATTATTGCTCCTACACTACAAACCTGTGTAGCATGTTACTGTACTGAATACTGTAGGCAGTTATAACACAATGGTAAATATTTGTGTATCTAAACATATATAAACATAGAGAAGGTACAGTAAAAGCATGGTATAAAGAATAAAACATGGTAGACCTGTCTAGGGCACTTATCATGAATGGAGCTTGCAGGAGTGTGTAGTAATGTAAAGGCCTGGGATATTACTATACACTACTGTAGAATTTATAAACAAGCTGCACTAAATTTAAAAATATATACTTTTCTTCTTCAGTAATAAATTAACATTAGCTACTATAACTTTTTTACTTTATATACTTTAATTTTATAATAACACTAAGCTTAAAATACAAATGCATTGTATAGCTTTAGTTAGGTTAGACTTTTTGACTCTTGTAATAACACTTAGCTTAAAATACAAATGCATTAGGCCGGGCGCGGTGGCTCAAGCCTGTAATCCCAGCACTTTGGGAGGCCGAGGCGGGTGGATCACGAGGTCAAGAGATCGAGACCATCCTGGTCAACACGGTGAAACCCCGTCTTTACTAAAACTACAAAAAATTAGCTGGGCATGGTGGCGCGTGCCTGTAATCCCAGCTACTCAGGAGGCTGAGGCAGGAGAATTGCCTGAACCCAGGAGGCGGAGGTTGCGGTGAGCCGAGATTTGCGCCATTGCACTCCAGCCTGGGTAACAAAAGCGAAACTCCGTCTCAAAAAAAAAAAAAAAAATACAAATGCATTGTATAGCTATACATTTTTTCTTTATATACTTATAGGTGTTTTTTCTTTTGTTCTATAAGCTTTTTAAATAAAATTATTACTACTCTATTTTTTCCTTTAGACTTTTTTGTTGAAAACAGAGACAAACACACACACTAGCCTAGGCCTACATAAGGTCAGCATCGTCAGTATCACTGTCTTCCGTCTCTGCATCTTGTCCCCTTGGGAGATCTTCAGGGATGTGCATGGAGCATGTTTCATCTCCTATGATAATGGTGCTTTATTCTGAAATGCCTCCTAAGGGACCTAACTGAGATGTTTTACTGTTTTGTTTTTTAAGAGGAAGAAGGAGGAATATAGTATAAAATAGTGATAAAAAACATAGTAGAGTAAGTACATAGACCAGTAACATAGTCATTTACCAGTAACTTAGTCATTTATTATAATTGTCAAGGTTTATGTACTGTACATGATTGTATGTATTATACTTTTAAATAACTGGCAGTGCAGTGGTTTTTTTAATACAAATATCACAAATGCTTGTGAGTAATTTCTTATGACATCAGTCAGTAAATAGGAATTTTTCAGTTCTGATATAATCTTATATACCACCTTTTCATATTGCCATTTGTCATTGACCAGAATGTTGTTATGTTGTTACATAGTATGTGACTGTGGTTGGAATCCTAACAGTATGTATCCTTTTCACATTGGCTTCTTTCATTTAGTAGTGTGCAGTTAAAGATCCTCCATGTTTTTTTTGTTTTGTTATGTTTTTTGAGCCAGGGTCGGTCTCTGTCTCCCAGGCTGGAGTGTGGTGGTGAGATCATGGCTCACTGCGGCTTCGACCTCCTGGACTCAAGTGATCCTCCCACCCCCTTCCAAGTATCTGAGACCACACACAAAAGCCATCACACCCTGCTAATTTTTCATTTTTAGTAGAGATAAGGTCTTTCTATGTTGCTTAGGCCAGCAACTTGAACTTGGCGTCCCAAAGTGTTGGGATTACAAGTGTGAGCCACCACTCTCAGTTTCTCCGTGTCTTTTTATGGCTTGATAGGCTGAGGTGGGAGGATCACTTGAGCCCAGAAATCCAAATCCAGCCTGGGCAGCATAGTGAGACTTCTGTCTCTTAAAAAAACACACACAAAAAAGAGAGAAGACCAAAGTTACTGATATTAGAAATGAAATGAGATCTAATTACAGATCCTGTAGATATTAAAAGGATAACAGGGAAACACTATAAATATCTGTATGGACATGAAGCTTAATTTAAATGGGGCAGTTCCTCAAACCTTGATTTGATACATTATCAAAAGTCATCCAATATAAAATAATCCAATATAAAATAGATTATTTGACTAGTCCCATCACTATGAAGAGAAGAAATTGAATTAAATTCAATTAAAGAAATTGAATCTATAATTTAAAGGCTTTCATGAGACAAATCAAGAACAAGATAAGGATGTGCACTCTCACCACTCCTTTTCAACATTATATTAGAGGTTCTAGCCAAGGGCAGTTAGACAAGAAAACTAAAAGGCATACAGATTGGAAAGGAAGAAATAAAACTTCCCTTTTGGAGATGGCATGATTGTCTATATAAAGTCCTGGTAAACACAAGTATAACATTTTGTAATAATGTTATTTGGGAGCTGGGCACAGTGGCTCACACCTATAATCCCAGCACTTTGGGAGGCTGAAGTGGGTGGATCGCTTGAGGTCAGATGATGGCTTCCTCCAAAACAAAGGACAGATTTACTTATAGCCTATCCATTATAAAAAGCCTGGGATTTCTCTATTATAACTCAGTCCACTGTTTTTGCGGTGTCAAGTGTCCCACTTCATCTTGCCTTTGGTATTGGGGAACTGATGCAAAAATTAAGGTAGCCTGGCTACTATCATTGCAGTGAGAAATAAATTCTCCTTTTTCTCTTATCAAGAATCTCATGTCTCCTGCCAGCACCCATGAAACTGTCATACTGATTTGCCAGGTTACGCGTAGGGTAAAATCTCAGCCAGCCACAGTAGCTTATGCCTGTAATCCTAGCACTTCAGGAGGCCAAAGCAGGTGGATCACTTGAGCCTAGAGTTCAAGACCAGCCTGGGCAACATGGCAAAATCTTGTCTCTACCTCAAATACAAATCAGTTGGGTGTGGTGGTGTGGGCCTATAGACCCAGCTACATGGGAGGCTAAGATGGGAGGATCACCTGAGTCTGGGGAGATTGAGACTACAGTGAGCCATGATCTTTGCACCACACTCCAGCCTGGGTGACAGAGTAAGACCCTACATCAACAAAATAAGAAACAAACCAAGTAGACTAAAATCTCATACCCTTTATAAGTCTCAACATATTTTATGGACATTTTTCATCAAACAGTATTATTATTTTAAACTGTAGAGGCCAGGCCCAGTGGCTTACGCCTATAATCCCAGCACTTTGGGAGGCCGAGATGGGTAAATTACTTGAGACCAGCCTGACAAACATGGTGAAACCCCATCTCTATGAAAAATACAAAAATTAGCCAGGAATGGTGGTGTGTGCCTGTGGTCTCAGCTACTTGGGAGGCTGAGGCATGAGAATTGCTTGAACCCGGGAGACAGAGGTTGCAGTGTCCAGCCTGGATGACAGAGGATGACTCTGTCTCAAAACAATACAAAACCATGGAGTATGTACTGTAAGTGCCTTGTTAGGCCTGGATGAAGGAACATAGGCTTAGATAAGTTAACTAATGTTTCTGCAATCTGGCTGTTAAACTGTTGCTCTCACAGCAGTTTATAGTTGTTCCTGTCTTAAAGGCATTTTATATAAGATAAAATTAAACATTGATGGAGTACTTTTCGTACGTTAAAAATAGATGAGTGCAGGTTTAAAATCTTTTTTCTGTATGGGATTATGAATATATAAATTGAATTGTGACATTTAATACATTTTGATTTTTAAAAACATGACTAATAACTTTTTTTTTTTTTTTTAAAGAATTGTTCTCTGTGTACTTCAGGCTGTATCTGAAACCTTCACAAGATGTTCATAGAGTTTTAGTGGCTAGAATAATTCATACTGTTACTAAAGGATGCTGTTCTCAGACTGATGGATTAAATTCCAAATTTTTGGATTTGTTTTCCAAGGCCATTCAGTGTGCGAGGTAATGTAATCTCTTTTTCTTTTGTTTTGTATTGAAATACTTTTGACCTTCTTGCAAGACCATGCTTTAGATTCAATAACTAAAAATTCTACCTTTAAATAAAGCATTGATCCATCATAACAGAACTAGTGGATTCCTAAAGAGACAACCAAGTCTAACACTTCCTGAATATCCAATATGCAGAACACTCAACACTACATGATGTTCTCAAGTGGGAGATGTGTCTTGCTGATGTTCTGATGACCAGGAAAGTTAAATATCCTCTTAATCGTTACATTTCCCCCATTTTGAGGATGGTTGTAATATATTGAGAATAAGATAAAATAGGAATATATTTGGGAAGTATTCCTGTTGTACATTTGTTTGGCATTATTTAATTTATAATGTGGAACATTTTATAAATGTTGCTACAGATCAGTTTTGTTTATTTTTAGACCATGTTTTAGCAGCAGGGAGAGCTAACAGAAGTGGTCTCTTAGCACCAGATAAGAACTAATTTTTTGTTAGTTTGAAATAATGCTGTGATTTGTTTTTAGTGAGTAGTTTTGAAATTAAGGCTTTTGTTTGAAAATTAACGTTTTTTTTTCTTTCAGCATGCCATTTCATAACTGTCTTTAATTTGTGTACTTTGTTCCCCCTGTTATACCCAGTTGAGTTTGTTTGTTTTCTCACAGACAAGAAAAGAGCTCTTCAGGTCTGAATCATATTCTAGCAGCTCTTATTATCTTCCTCAAGACTCTGGCTGCCAACTCTCGAATTCAAGTGTGTGAATTAGGAGATGAAATTCTTCCCACCTTGCTTTATATTTGGACTCAACATAGACTTAATGATTCTCTAAAAGAAGTCATTATTGAATTATTCGAACTGCAAATTTATATCCATCATCCAAAAGGAGCCAAAACCCAAGAAAAAGGTATAAAGAAAATGTTTACCATTTTGAATTTGTTTCTTCATTCAAACCTAAAGGCTTAAGTATAAAATTAGTGTTCTGTAGGAGGATATGACTTTCCTCTGGATTGCTCTAGTTGATAATGTTAATTAGTCATGAGAATGTTTTTCATTGAGTTTTTAGAATTTGAAGCAGTGGTAGCAAATTCTGTTATGCCTTTCTGTGTGTTCAATACGATGTTAGGTATTACGGGAAATACAAACAAATATGAGACATTGTTCCCTCTAGGAGCTGATTATGCATGAATACTTCAGTACTAAGGGGTCTGGCACAGACTGTAGGGCAAAATAATTTAAAGAAAGCAGGATCTTGTTTATCCACCTATTGATTTTATTAGAAGATAAAACATAAATTGGACTAAAACCAGTCAGATTATTCAGCTCTTGAGGAAGATCCATACATATTACTTTCATAGAAATGTGAGGCAGAAAAAGGGAAATTACTGCCTTAAGCCTTCTAGTTACTCTAGGGCCTTGTTTCCCGGAAAAAAAAAGAATCCCTTGTTTTCCTTGATTCCTTCATATTTGTCCTACACTAAGAAAGTATTGCTCAGAAGGTATAGTGCTTTTCAGTAGTTAGGAACTTTATTGGCTGGAACTGGAGTTTCCTCATGCTCTGTCTATTACTGCCTTTGGACTTTTGCTAGCCTTTGGACCAATTCATCAAGGCTAGTATAATGACTTTTTTAAGACAGCATACTACATTGAGTAATAGCAGCTATAATGGAGAAAATGTGTTATAGCCACTTTTTATTTTTTGAGACAGAGTCTCACTGTTGCTCTGGCTGGAGTGCAGTGGCATGATGTCAGCGCATTGCAACTTCTGCCTCCTGGGTTCAAGCAATTCTCCTGCCTCAGCTTTCTAAGTAGCTGGGATTACAGGTGCTTGCCACCACGCCTGGCTAATTTATGTGTTTTAGTAGAGATGGGGTTTCACATGTTGGCCAAGCTGATCTCGAACTCCTGAACTCAAGTGATGCACCCACCTCGGCCTCCCAAAGTGCTGGGATTACAGGCGTGAGCCACTGCACCGGGCTGTGTAGCCACTTTTTATCAAAAGTAGCTGTGTATGTGTTTCTAATATGTATATTTAGGTAATGTGTAACCCATGAAACCACTGTAAGTGAAAGAACAGTGACTTTTTATAGTTTTTCATCTTTTACCCACCTCTCACCTGGATGAAGATGAGGCTTATTAGGAGGTGATATGATATGTCTAGGGATTTAGTTAACTGTGTATTTAGGATGAATTTAAAATTGAAAGGATGCTGAGGATGCCAGAAAAGCTAATGTAGTTTCAGACTACATTAATAGATTTTATGGTACTTTGTTTATGGGAAATAATAGACATTTGTTCCACATACTAGTCAGACCACAGTTGGAGTATTATGTTCACCACATTTCGTACAGTTAGCATTTCAAGTTGACTGGAATATGTCTTGGGAAAGATGACTGAAATGGTGAGAAGTCTGGTTAATATGTCATTTGTATATTAGTTGAAGGAACTGGTAGTATTTTTCTCTTTGGCCAAAAAAAGATATACAGAGAACTTGGTCCTCATATGAAAGAGGGAACATATTGATCGTATTTGCCTCAGGTGGGAGAATAAATTGGAGAAAGGCATATTTTAGGTCAGAATATGGAAGAAATTTATAAGAAATACAGTTATCTAGGCTGCGTGTGGTGGCTCATGCCTGTAATCCAAGCACTTTGGAGGCCAAGGTGGGCAGATCACCTGAGGTTGGGAGTTCAAGACCAGCCTGACCAACATGGTGAAACTCCGTCTTTAAAAAAAAAAAAAAGAAAAAAAGAAATACAGTTATCTAGATGTAAAATAGAGAGTTAGGAAATAGAGTTTGTCAAGGATCTTGTCAGATGAGGTGTTAGTACTGGATGGAAAGTTGGACCAGATGTCTAATATTGATGCAGCTTGACAGCTGAATAATTTTGTGGGAGCTAGCAGTGCAAACAGAGTACATGAATAAATTACATTTCAATTTTTTGGATTACAGGTGCTTATGAATCAACAAAATGGAAAAGTATTTTATACAACTTATATGATCTGCTAGTGAATGAGATAAGTCATATAGGAAGTAGAGGAAAGTATTCTTCAGGATTTCGTAATATTGCCGTCAAGGAAAATTTGATTGAATTGATGGCAGATATTTGTCACCAGGTACAGTAAGTAGGCCATGTCACATTTAGAAATTTCCTGTTAGTTTTTTTATTTTTAACTGGGCTTTTAAAACTGGTGTTCTCACAAAAAGCCTATAAAATTACTCTATACATGTAACTATTCCTTTCAAAATATCAGAAATTATTTGGAATTACCCTTTTAACTTAAAAGTTAATGCTTTTGCAGATATGGACTTAGTGAAAACTAGCAATGAACTTTTCCATTCTTAAATGATTACCTGTAGGAAATAAGGTGACTATAATCCTAATGTTTCTTTCCTTTTTCCTTTCTTTTCCTTCTTCCTTTCCTTTCCTTTCTCCTTTTCTTTTCCCTTTTTCCTTTTTCCTTTCCTTTCCTTTTTCTCTTCCTGTTTTCCTCTGTTGCCCAGGCTGGAGTGCAGTGGCATGATCTTAGCTTACTGCAACCTCTGCCTCCCAGGCTCAGGTGATCCTCCTGCCTCAGCCCCCTGAGTAGCTGGTACTACAGGCATGTGCCACCACGCCTAACTAATTTTTCATAGAGGCAGGGTTTCACCATGTTTCCCAGGCTGGTGTAGAACTCCCGAGCTCAAGTGATTTGCCCACCTTGGCCTGTCAAAGTGCTGGGATTACACGAATGAGCCACCGTGCCCAGTCTGTTTCTTTTTTTGCAATTAAGCTAGAGTTCACATAGCTTAAAATTCATGATTTTAAATTGTACATTTCTGTGGTTTTTAGTATTTTTACTATGTGTACAACCATCACCACTAATTTTAGAACTTTTTTTTTTTTTTGAAATGGAGTCTTGCTCTGTCCCCCAGGCTGGAGTGCAGTGGTGCCATCTTGACTCACTGCAACCCCTGACTCCCAGGTTCAAGTGATTCTCCTCTCTCAGCCTCCCAAGTAGTTGGGACTACAAGTGCCCACCACCACGCCCAGCTAATTTTTGTATTTTTGGTAGAGATGGGGTTTCACCCTTTTGGCCAGGCTGGTCTCAAACTCCTGACCTTGTGATCCACCCACCTTGGGCTCCCAAAGTGCTGGGATTACAGGTGTGAGCCACAGCGCCCGGCCCAAAATTTTTTTAATCATCCCCAAAGAAACCTCATACCTTCTTAGCATTTAGTCCCAATTCCTTGCATCTTCTAGATCCTAGTAACCAGCCACTAATCAATCTTGGTTTTTGTGAATTTTCCTGTTTGGGACAGTTCATTTAAATGGAATCATACAACATGTGGTCTTTTATGTCTGCTTTCTTTCACTTAGCATAATGTTTTCAAAGTTCATCCATGTTTTACCATGAATCAGTACTTCATTTTTATTGCTGAATAATATTCAGTTGTATTGATATACTCCATTTTACTTACTTGTTCATCAGCTGATGGCCTAATGTTTTTTAAATAAAACTGTTTTCCCCAGATATTTGGTTAACATACTGGGTAGTAATTTCATTCTGTCAAATATTTTCTTAATGGTAAATTTAAAAAATTGAATCCCTTTGAAAGTAAAGGTTTTTGCTTTGCTTTTAGATTTCTTGGTGCTTTTAGTAAGTGTTCCCAGGAAATAAAACTAATGTGTTACTTGGTAATACCTGCTTTCTAAGAGTGCCATTATTGTCATGCAAGCTGTTTGTTTTTTACCATGTTATCAGATTTATATGTTTCTATAATTTGTTACTCTTGCTTTATGAATTAATTCCCTGTATCTTCATTTCAGAAGGAATTTTTTTTCCCCCAATGAAATATTATAAGACAGTAGCAATGAAAAAAGTGGATATGGCTGGGCGTGGTGGCTCATGCCTATAATCCCAGCACTTTGGGAGGCTGAGGCGGGCGGATCATCTGAGGTAGGGAGTCCAAGACCAGCCTGACTTACATGGAGAAACCCCGTCTCTATTAAAAATACAAAATTAGCTCGGCATGGTGGTGCATGCCTGTAATCTCAGCTACTCTGGAGGCTGAGGCAAGAGAATCACTTGAACCCAAGGGCCAGATGTTGCAGTAAGCAAGATCGTGCCATTGCTCTCCAGCCCCTGGGCAACAAGAGTGAAACTCTGCCTCAAAAAAACAAAAGAGAAAAGAAAAGAAAAAGAAAAAAGTGGATTTATTTTTATTTTACAGGTTTTTAATGAAGATACCAGATCTTTGGAGATTTCTCAATCTTATGCTACTACACAAAGAGAATCTAGTGATTACAGTGTACCTTGCAAAAGGAAGAAAATAGAACCAGGCTGGGAAGTAATAAAAGATCACCTTCAGAAGTCACAGAATGATTTTGAACTTGTGCCATGGTAAAATGTTATCATTTTCTCATTCAGTGTCATTTTAGTCTCTTATTTTTCAGAAAACTTTCAATGGAATCCTTTAATCTCAGCCAGAACTAAGTCATTTGTTTACTCCCAAACCTGTTACTACCAAAGGGATATGTGATTGCATGACAAATTAGATAAATTGTTAATGGCTCATTTGCTGGGGCCAAGGGTGGGCCTACCTTTGCTAATCATATTGTCATAGCAAGTTAAGAAGGCAGACTGGCTGTCTAGTAGGCAATTAGAAATGTGTACCTCATGGAATTCACTGAATTGTACACTTCAACAAAAGATTTTAGCATACATAGCGCCTTTTAATAGAATTAGGAAGAAGTTAAATGTAACCTTAAGAAATAACAATAATTTTTACTTTATACGATGATAATAAGTTATTTTCTCTTATTTTTCTGTCTTTATTCTCATATGACATTCACATATATTTAAATAATTAAATAAATTATGGAATACTTTGGAATCCCAAAATATTAGGTCTGGTAAGGATGGTTAGAATTTGTCTAATTCAGCCTGTTGCCTTTACTGAAAAGAAACTGAAACGCAGAGAGGTTAAGCAAGTTGTGTAAGGACAGAGATTTATAGATTATAGTCATAGTTAGATACCTGTTGCTTAAGTGCATGTTTATATGGTTAAGGGTAGCTATTTAAGATTTTTCATTTGTCCATTTAGTCAAGAGTTATTTATTGAATACCTGCTATGTGCCAAGTGTTGGGGATATAGAGATGAATAACATAAGATTCCTATTCTTAAGTACCACACATTCTAGAAAATACATAGCAAATATTTATCGGATTAACTGAATTAATATAAAGGAAAAACAGTTTTTTGGGTTTCTTTGTTTTCCTGTTTTAGAGGAATAGTTTTGGTGACTAAAGAGCAAGGATGAGGCCGGGCGTGGTGGCTCACGCCTGTAATCCAAGCACTTTGCAGGCCAAGGCGGGCAGATCACCTGAGGTCAGGAGTTCAAGACCAACCTGACCAACATGGTGAAACCCTGTCTTTAAAAAAAAAAAAAAGAGCAGGGATGTACAAGATAACTCAGAAATAAAATCTTGCTAATTAATTTATTTTTTATTCTTTTCTGAGATGGAGTCTTGCCTGTCACCCAGGCTGGAGTGCAGTGGCGCGATCTCAGCTCACTGCAACCTCTGCCTTCCGGGTTCAAGCAATTCTCCTGCCTCAGCTTCCTGAGTAGCTAGGATTACAGGTGTGTGCCACCATGCCCAGCAATTTTTGTATTTTTGGTAGAGATGAGATTTCACCACTTGGGCCAGGCTGGTCTTGAACTCCTGACTTTGCAATTCACCCACCTAAGCCTCCCAAATGCTGGTATTACAGGCATGAGCCACTGTGCCCGGCCCAAATATTGCTAATTTAATATCCTTTAAAATATTTGTTTGAGGGAAACTTAACAACTTACCCAGGTAGCCAAAACATTGACAATTTTCCTGCCAGTTTAGGAAGTAGGACATAGTAACTACTAAGAGAGAATACTATGGAAATGATGATGGTGATTCTCTAATTATGATATTGTAAGAGTAACTGTCTATATATTTCTTTTTAGTTTGTTAATGCAATTTAATAGTTTTCAAATTATCCTTTTTATTTTTTAGGCTACAGATTACAACCCAATTAATATCAAAGTATCCTGCAAGTTTACCTAACAGTGAGCTGTCTCCATTACTGATGATACTCTGTCAGCTTCTACCTCAACAGCGACGTGGGGAACGCACACCATATGTGTTACGATGTCTTATGGAAGTTGCATTGTGTCAAAACAAGAGGTCAAACCTAGAAAGCTCACAAAAATCAGATTTATTGAAACTCTGGAATAAAATTTGGTGTATTACCTTTCGTGGTATAAGTTCTGAGCAAATACAAGCTGAAAACTTTGGCTTACTCGGAGCCATAATTCAAGGTAGTTTAGTTGAGGTTGACAGAGAATTCTGGAAGTTATTTACTGGATCAGCCTGCAGACCTTCATGGTAAGTTTAACATGCATTATGTCATACTTTACAGAAACACAAACGTACATTCTGTCACACACACACACACACACACACACACACACACTCTCTGTCTCACACTGTAGACCTTTCATGGTAAGTTTACAGAAACACACACACACACACACACACACACACACACACACACACACCCTGATCATTTTCCTAGTTTGTTACTTCAGTTAAAGATGTTAAATTCTATTGTTACTTCAGTTAAAGATGTTCAATTTTATGTCAGATGCTTTTCTTGTTTGGCCAAGAAGACTTAATAAATGCGTAAGTGAATTTAGTTTCAAATGTTGAGAAATTATTAAGGCCTAATTTTAAGGAATTTCCTTTTTTATTAAAAAATTTTTAATTGATCTACAATAGAGTTACATATTTTCCAGGTACACATGGTAATTTGATATACTCATATAATCAAATCAAGATAATCAGGCTATCATCACCCTACATATCTTTTCTTTATGCCAGGAACATTTGAATTACTCTCTTCTTGTTATTTTGAAATGTATAATAGATTAATGTTACCCATAGTCACCCTACTCATCTATCAGACACCAGGTCTTATTCGTTCTAATTGTATATGTGTATCCAAAAGAATTTCTTTAAAGAATTATACAGAGTTTAAATCTCTTTTATGTGCAATTTATCATTATTTATTCAATAGCTTTGTTCTTATTGTAGTACTGCACACTGCTAATAAAAGAACTATTTTTTAATCAAGAATCTTTCCAAATGTAATCAGACTTTTGACAGTTTTTATGTTCACTTGGTCAGCTTAACTAAATGGATGTGCCAGGCACTGTCCTAATAGATAGACAGGTCTTTGCCCCCCCAATAGCTTGCTTTTCACAATTGTCCTTTGTTTTGTTATAGTCCTGCAATATGCTGTTTGACTTTGGCACTGACCACCATTATAGTTCCAGAAACAGTAAAAACGGGAATAGAGCCAAATATATGTGAGGGAAATAAAAGCTTTTCTTTAAAGGAATCAATAATGAGATGGCTCTTATTCTATCAGCTAGAGGATGACTTAGAAAATAGTACAGAAGTGCCTCCAATTCTTCACAGGTAATTTAAGTTCATTAGCATGCTGCTGGGTTTTTTTGTTTGTTTTATCAGGCTCTCTCCACTTACTTGATGCCAGGTGGCTTTATTCTATAATGATAATGCAGAATTTCCCAGATCTAGCCTTAATTATTAAATATTCCATTTGTTTTTACAGTTATCTGAGTCTTTATGCCTGATTGCTTCTGAAATAAGGGGTTGTCTCACTGTGAGAATATGGGGAGTATGCATATAATT